TCTGAGTCCCAGCGGGCACTTCGCCGTACATGCACCTCGTTTTTCCCCGCCAGCCCCACCCTACAAGGTGCGCCGCGTGTCCTGAACCTGGGCAAAGATATCATACGGGGCACGTCAACCATCAATGTTGAAGTTGTTTTGCATGTCTTTGGTGGCTCCCCTATTTCGCGCTGTCCTCCACCGGTGCCTCTACCTTCATCGACACCTCGGGCTAGGTTCGCATCGGCTAGGTTATCAATCAGGCGATTTGGCCCCATCCTCGCCGCATTTGCAGCCGTCGCCTCTCTAAACTCATTGGATCCCGGAATATCGAAGGGCTTCGGAGCGACTCCCAGATCAAACCACCAAACAAGCGAAGATGATGCGGAGGACGAGCATGGGGATCATATGTTTCAAGAGACACAGCTTCACGGCGCACGCCATGAAGAGGATGGTGGATTCCTCCTACGCCTATCCGGGGAGCTCGACCCAAAACACCGTTCGGGTGCAGACGTAGGGTTTATGGCTCCATGGATGCGCCGAGCTGCGGTAGTTTTCCGCACAGCATATCCGCGATGGGCAACGGTGCGAGCGCGCGTCCAGCACGGCGTCTTGGACACCATCGCCGCCCATGCTCCGCATAGTGGACATCCCCACGACCAACGGCAAGTTTTCTTCTCAGAGCTAGGCGCAGCAATAAGACATGCAACACCACGTAGTACGACGCTGGTTCTTGGCGACGTCAACGCGAAGCTATCTCAGCCAGACCCAGAAGAAGAGAACACGATCGGAAAATATGCATTTCAAAGTGCTCCCAGTCGCAGTGCATAGCGACAAGTTTCGAACAGGTAATTGTTGATGTAGCGCTGGATCGCCAGGTTCCGGGCACTTGCCAGCGCGCATCTCGAAATACCAGTTGAGCAGCGAATTGACCGACAGAGACCTGGGGGCCCCACTTCTGGAGGCTGTCACGCAGCGCAGCTTCCGCCAGATTGACCACGTTCTCTGCCACAGCACAGTGGTACCATTGATTCTGAATTGCAGGATCGATGGGGCGGCCGCTCTCAACAGCCATCACCCCCGACGCAAGTAGCGGCGCACCCCAATTTGAAAAGACAAAGACGAATGGGACGCTCGACGACTTAGCTGCGAGTGCAATACATACCTCTGCCGCCTCTGCAATGGCGTCAAGTGCATATCCAACCAGGGCAACTCTAGCCAAGAAGCGGTGGATATCCAATTCGGCATCGGCCTTGATAGAACAACGCAACGCATGCCGGCGCAACGGGGATCACCTTCTTGAGCGCTTCCTGAAAACAGCAGATCCGGGAGGCAGTTCAAGAAGACCGCGCGATTCGGACCAGCAAAATCGCCGGGGGAAGCCGCGAGCTAAACGCGCGGGGCACGATACCTGAACAACAACCTCACGGACACCGCTGGCCAGCCAGACGCCCTCGCATATTACGTTAAGAAGGTTCAGCGGGGCGTTGAGTTCGCCGATGTCCCCCCCGCTGCTTCAGATTCCCTCGGCGGCGAACTGCCAGTGGCCATATTGGATTCTACATAGGATGAGCTACAGTTCGCTTTGGAGAAGATGAAAGGCGGGAAAGCTACAGGTCCTGACGACGCTTCTCCAGATGCGTGGAAATTCTACATCAAGATCACGATGCATGCGCGATTATTTTCGACAGTTGCCAATCATGTTGGGGGGCCAAAATCACGCCCGAGAACTAGAAGAGCGAAAGCGATCCTATTGTTCAAGACAGGAGACGTCGCATCGTCCAGCAACTATCGCCAAATCTCCCTCCTGGCAGTTGGGCGCGAAGCGCATGCTACAAGGACCCATCAAAGGTCATGGCGAGGGGGGGGGGGGGGGGCGGGGGGGGCGAAGTCCGAATGCGCAGCTCGCATCTCGGATTCCGACCCGGGCGAGGCACCGCAGACGCCCTCGCGGCGATCAGACGGATGGCGGGCGCAGCTGCACTCAGCGAAGGCGGCGGCATATTCATGGCGCCCCTCGATTGGGCGAAGGCTTTCGACAGCCTAAAATCGTTATGTTTGTCTGATGCATTGGCTCGCTTTTGGGGCCCGGCCCCCCATGGTCCCGATGATCGAAGGAGTCTATTCGGAACGCACGATGTCTATCGCGAGCTGCACCTACAGCGCGAACCATCCTACGCGGTAGCACGAGACGCACTGCACGCGGACGACGCAGTCCTAATTTCAAAGCACACAGATAACATTCAAGCGCTGTTGACCGCTGTTGTTCTGGAGAGGCGCAAATACGGCATGGAGTTGAATTGGGACAAGAAAGACAGCAGGCGCGCGAGAAATTGACCAGCAGTTCGGCTACGAGACCAACCGGAGAACCCATCAAAATCGTCAGTCAAACGATCTACCACGGAGGACTGATCATTGACGATGGTCGCGCGGGACCCGAGCTTAACCGACCACTGGGTGACTGCAGTGCTGTATTTCGAGAGCTGTTCAAAGTTTGGAACCGTTCTTCACTTGGCAGACA